CTTCGGAAACAGCGTCAGCATGAATCTTCCAGTAAAGCCAATCGACAGCTGGTCAAGATGAATCGGCCATTGTCTTCTGGTGGAACAGACCTTCGAATCTCTTCACCCAACACTTTTACTCGAAATGGAAGTAAGTTCAACAATACCTTAGCAGATACAACTTTGCCGCGTCGGCAATCCGACCACGTCGATGTTATACCCAAAAGGCCTATGCCTCCTTAAAATTTTCAGCTGCCTCATGACCCAAGAGCACTCGTGGAATTGTGATGTATTCGTTAACGTGTAGAGAGTATATGCTGCATTATCACAAGACAGGTTCGATTCCCGCAGGAGGTGCTGATGAAACTAGTTCGGGCGAGGTTGACATTTCAGTCCGATCGAGTCTGGATGAGAATAATTTTTGGGAACCAAGCCTATGTGAAATTTAATGGAGATATGAGACCCACTCATATGATTGTAGAAAAAGTCAATTCCCAGTTTCTCATCACTTTAAAACGAAATGAAGTGAATATGACTCTTATAAATGAGAAATTCACATCAAGGTTGCCATTTGTGTTAATCTTTGAAGATGAAAATGATAAATATTTTATTAATGTAAAGCCTAAGGATATGTTTTTAGTTAATGCCAAGTCGGCGTCCTAATCCAGACTATATCTTCCTTTTAATGCACCGGACAAAGTGATAGAGAAAGTATAGGTCTCAGAACCTACTGGTATTATATTTGGCATCAGACTAATGGTATCATAAATTTGTTCTCTAGCAATGGTACCAAGGCCACTCTGGCAATATGTATGGCTCATTAAGGACTCTAATCCAGTAGCAGGCGGCTTATTTTCTTACAAGGATGAAACATTGACTCGTTTAGAGACTATTTATCTGCGCCGTACAGAGACCTCACAACCTAAAATATTCAGTGACTAATTACACAGCCCTATTTTCACATATTATAACAAGGCCATGAGGATTAGGTAAGTGGAAAAATAAATTTGTCAAATATTTTCCCCAAACCAACAATGCTTAAATACAATTGGATGCCTTGTTTAACTTGTACTCCTGTAAATCCTTCTGTGTCCGCTGGCGACATGTATCACATAATATTTGAGAAAAATCGCAAAATATGATATAATTAATGACTCGAACGAGCGTCAGGATCGATTATCACAATTTAGGCAATGAGCCAATTTTCGGATTTTATGGAGTTTTCATGTAATAGTTGTAACATTTTCGCAGTGATTTTGAGCAATTACTCCAGCATACTAGTTACATAAATGATAGTAGTAGTATCACCAGTAGTAGGAAATGCCTGCATCCATCACTAAAATTCGCATCAACTTTACACTTCTAAGCAATGATGAAAGTCGATATTGGCACGTTTAGCACTTTTCAGATCCTTCCTGATTAGTTCCTATGCGATATGACCAACTACTCTGCATAAATATTCTTTTACAAAAGAGCGAGATTGTAAGCAAAAGCTGACAAAATGGGCCAAGTTGAATTTCATAATATGCAAATTTATAGAAGTAAACTGAAATTAACTTGAAAAGAGCCCGTAATTTAACTCTAAGGACGGGTGATAAAGATCCAGACAGATTCTCTTAGTAAAAATAGACTTAATTTTGCAGCCTGGAAAGTAGCACAAACTAACACTTGGCAGTCCAAGCTGAAACTATCTAGGTTGGAGGAGAGATGGGACGAGGCTCTGAAAAGTCTGGCTGGAGTGCAAGTGGTACAGATTTAGTTGTACTTGAATGTAATGCAACAAATGATTGGCCTTCTCCTTCCAGCTGCTGTCTCTTTTGCCAACCCTATATACAGAATCAAGGCTTTCCACAATTTTTTTCCGACTGACGTGTTAGGTTGTTTACTTGTGGCGACTAGATTGTAGTGCTGGAATGGATGTTATAGTGGGGGCATAAAAGCACAAAGACTAGCATAGATGATGAAGACTGCTATTGGACATACAGTTATGCAATATAATGGCTGTATCATATTGAAGGGTAATAATTATAAATGCAGGAGAATCAAGATGACTATCCTAATTGTTGGTGTGATTGTAGTCGATATCTGGAATAACGAAGCTATTGACACATTTCTGCCAAAGCAATGGTTGGACTTAGAGGTTGGAGCAGCAGAGGACGAACGAGTGTGTAGTTATTTAGTTGTTTTTTTAGTAAATAAGGCAAGTTTTTTACAGTCCTTACGCCCCTGGGAATTTGGGATAGCGAGAATGTGCAATGATTTGAAGTATGATTTTCATTCTGTCGACAAAGAGTTTACTCACACTAGCATTGAATAGGGGTATATAAAATATACGTGTATATGTGTATATAAAATAAATACTGGAGGAAAAATAAATGCAGTTTCATGTGTTCTCAAGATGGTCCTTTTTAAGCGTCCGAACGAAAATACAACTCTTGTTGTGCTGTAATTCACACCCTTTCTTCTCTGCATAACCAGCTGACAGAAGTGGAACAAAGGGTGAGCCGATAATGTGTCCAAACAGCTTAGTGTAGATGAAGAGGTCGGCGGATAGACTGTCTCAGAAGCCACAAAGGGTTGTGGGGAAAAGGACAGGTGTGATCGGCCCACTATATCGGGACCAAGTGGTGGGTAAGTGCCCACAGCGGTGGCCAATACGTTCGTCTGGTCTGAGGTTGGACGAAGCGACATGTCGAATGGTGGCGAACAGGAGAAGAATCCGGCCGGAGGAACGGAGGCGACTTGGACAGAAAAGAGGCAGTCGGGAATGCTGTAGACGTCCGAGTGATTGGACCAGGAGG